GAGGTGGGGGGGAGGTGTGGGTGTGGAGGGGATGGGTTAGGATGGGCTGCCAGGCTCCTTTCAGTTTGGGTAGCAAACCCCTCAGCTTGAACACCTGCTTTCAAACCCTGCACCTCAGTGCAGAGTTTCAACAAGCAAACAGGGCATTAAAATCTACCAAGAGGACCCCCCCCTCCCCCCGGCAACCATGACATCAAATGCAACATGAAGGCAGGTGGTGGGGATAGAATAGGCAACATGAATGCCATCAGACATACACCCCCCCTCCACCAACACACTCCAGCTGCACAGGTCTCCTGCTTCCTTGTAGCTGGTGAGATTCAGCTTCGGACACGAACCTCCTTCCCACGCCCAGAAAAACAGGAAAAATAACTTTTCTACAAACCTTTTTTTTTTCCTGCTCTGGGACTTTGATTTGGAGACAGTTATAAACAGCTCATTGTTGGGCGTGTGGAGTCAAAGGGAACTCTGCTAATCAGCCGGGAGCCGGCTGGTTCGGGAAGCCCCAGGAGGACAGCTGGAAAAGTGTGCACAGGGAGTGATTTTTTAATTTCAATCTATAATGATTATTAAGACCTTAATATTTCATGTACGATAAACCAAGCCTCATGCACAGGCATCTCTCACTGTGCTAAACATGCACACAGTGCTGCTGTGATGCAGCCATTTCCAGGGTGAGGAATGACAGCCACACACAACGTGCTGGGTTGCATCCAGTGACCAAGAACCACAGAAGGCGAACCTGGGGAGGGGCAACATGATCTGGTGGTTGTTAGGGGGTGCTGGGTTCCAGGCTTCTATTCCAAACTCTAAGAGTAGTTTGCTTTACTGCCTGGAGGCCCTTTCCTGTCTCATTGCCTCAGTTTCCCCACTTCACCGGGGAGTTGCAAAACATGTCCAAGCTCAGACAGGAAGCACCAAGTGCTGTCACCAGTGAGAGGAGAAACTCTGACTGGGAGCAAACCCCAGCTTTACGAAAACATGCTACGGGGAGTTTTAACATTCATGTGGATGGCAACAGGCTGCCAGTTTCATCTGGGGTGGGTGGGGGAGAACAGTCACGTGAACTCCCCCACCTTGAATTTCACAACAACAGATGAGCCGCAAGCCCCCCTGCCTTGCACCACTGTTGTGAAACGCACCTTCCCCTAGCGGCATGTCTAACCCTCGTGCATGCAGATGAGGGCAGACTTTGGGCTCAACACCCAAGGTGTTTCTAAGAACAGCCTGCCTAATGTGGTGTGCCCCACTTCTATATATGCTGGAGGAACACAGAACTGGACTTAAGTGCATCACTGGGTGCTACCCAACCCAGCTGGGCGCCTCTCACCCCCACTGTCACAAACCCTGGTCACCTGCCTATCAGGTGGTCAACTGCTTTAGCTCGGTGTCAATCGCTGCCCACTCTGTGACTTAATTGTGCTCCCTTGAACTGCCCCAGAAATGGCAGAGAGCCAGCAGCTGTCAAAGGACTGCTATTAGAAGCCTTGAAAGTGACAGCCAGTCAGTGCTGCAGCTGCCACATGCCCTTACTTCCAAAGCTGCTAATAGCAGGCCCCAAAACTGACCACTGCAAGCCTTGAGCTATGAGAGGAGCTAGTCAAGTGTCAGGGCCACTAAACGCACAACATTAAACAGTGCTCTAAGGGAGGGCAGTCCAACTTTGGTGTGGCTGGGGGCTGCAGGTGGCAATGGCATGTGGTCCTTGAGCTGTGCATTGCACAGGCTGTACACTGCGGGTGTAGCCCCCCATGACCTCTCCCCTCCCCAACTATTGGGCTGCACTTGCAGCACGTGGACCCCTGGGTCCATCTCCGCCTCTGTCACCAAACAGCAGGAGACACCAACATTGGGGCCCATGGGTTGTATATGGCCTGCAGGCCATAAACTGGGTCCTGACAAGCCCTCAGTTGGACAGCCCTGCTCCAAGTACACAGTGCAGCTATTAACAGCCCTGAAAATGACCAGCACAGGCTATTTTCTAGGTTTCTGATAGCTTCTGGGCTGCTCTTGTAAGCCTTGAAAGTGAGGGAGCTTGGGCAGTCTCCATGCAGCACCTCAGGAGCATGGTGTGCATTAAAGTCAGGCAAGGGCAGGGACATTTACCCACCTGTGTAAAGGAAAGGAAACCTGCATCTCAGGCTGCCATGGCCTGGAGGTTAAATGCAGCCAGGACCTCTGCTCCACCACTCAGTGTGCAAGGTAAGGAGAGGAGGAAAAAAAAAGGTACTTCGTGGGAGGCAGCTCCCAGTGCCAGCTTGCGCTTTCTATTCGACAAAGAGACAGCAGTAGGAGAAGCAGAGCTGATTGCTACCATTTCCCAATAACTGGACAGATGGGCAGGCAAGAGATCTAAAGAGGCTGGGAGTGTGACTGTAGTGGAGGGGAAATGGCTTTAATACCAAAACTATGCAAAACTTTTGAGGAAGGAGCTCAGGGGTGCTTACAAGGGTGCCATGCTGGCAGGGTGTTGGGGGCGGCAGGGCCTTTAGATACGATGCAGCGCAACCAAAGCAAAACCCAGAGCTCAGCACCAGCCCTGGGAACACTCCCATTTAAGTCTGAACTCAGCTGCCTGGGCTCATCCCAGCTGCAGGGGCTCCTAGTGCCTGGAGGCTGGGATCCTTCCATGGTTCTCAGATGCCTCCCTGACTAATTGGCTGAGAAGGCATCTAACCAATGGGCATCTAGGATTCCCACCTCAAGTGGCTTCCAGATCCTGCCAGAATCCTTATTGGCTGGGATGAGGCCCCCTCTCCTCAGCCCCCATGCTAAGCAACCCTGCCCAAAGCAGCCCCAACTAGCAGGGACTCAATAGCTGCCATCACACTGGGCCTTGGCCCAACCTCACCCCACAACTTCGGGAACCAGGAGATGCTCAGAGTGCCCCCAACTTTGTAGAGCAGGCACCAGCTCTGAAAGAAGCCAATGCAAGCCTTTATGCCAGCCTGGCTGCTGTGTAAAGGGGGTGGATGGGGCTCCTCTCACCTCTTGCCCCATCTAGGGACAGTAGTTCTCTGCCTCCCTGTGGCAGAGTATGAGAAGGGGAATCCCAGAGTTGCAGCAAGGGTGGGTGGATGGGGAGCAACATGTGGGCACCGTGCCCAGGGGAGCGTGGGCAGCATATCCCCTGAGGGCTGACAGGAAGGTGGCCTCCCAATTTGGGGCCGCAACACAGCAGGTGCTTCCAATTGAGGCTCTCCTGGGGAATCCCTGGGGCTCCCTGGCCTGCTGCCAGGCTGGTGCAGCAACTGCCTGCCCAAGCAGCCCCATGGCTTCTGTCCTCTGCCCAGCCAAGGCAGGGGGTCCCAAAGCCCCAGCATGCCGCAGCCCAGCACTCAGGCTTGGGCCTGGAGCAGTTTGAGGCCTAACATCAGGGGCTCCAGAGCCGCTGTGCCCCCTACTCTGCTGTGACAGTGTCTCATTCCCCTTACATTAACACCTGTTGTACTGGCTGCCAGCCTGCCCCCCTCAGCTTTGATAGCTAAGGTATACTGAGGCACCTGAGGCTCAGTCTTGCTGGCACCCCCTTGCCCCAGTTGGGAATGCCAAGTGTCGAGTGAGCCACAGAGCCCAAATAAACTTGCTAAACCTCCTCAGGAAGTGTGTGTATGTGTGTGTGTGCATGCACATGTACATATGTGTGTGCGCATGTGCATGCAGGAGCCTTACCCAGACTGCCCCAAGGAGCGTGGTGGGGCAGGGACAGACGCACCAGCCTTCCTCTCCTGACAGCTGAGTTGGGGCCTGCTTCCAATTCACACCCAAAATACTTCATTAAATATTTTCACCTGTGCCAACCGTGACCCTGAAGGGGACTTTTTTCCTCCTCAGCTGTGGAAAGATATGGGGCAGAAAAATGCCACCTTGCACCAAAATGCCAGCATTTGTTCCATCCCCAATACCCTAACAGTCTCCAAAAGGACTGCAGTCACCCACTAGGCTAGAGGGGTCGTGTCTATGTGGGCGGATGCCTGGGTTCTGGTCTCACTGTGGTTTGGGGGGGCGGGGAGGGCTGTTTCTAACTTTGCCCCCACCTTGCTGGGCAAACCACCAAGGCGCTAGCTTTGGCTTTCCAACTGTGCCCACCACCATGGCATCAGGCCTCTCTCATTTGTCAAATGCAGCCAAGACCCCTGCACTCCCAGGCAGCCAGAGGTTATGGGAAGAGGGGCAGCTGTCTGTGGAGCAAGCCTGGAGGGTCACTATCGGGGCACTGCATTAATCCTTCCCTGCAACTTTCCCTGGAGAGTGTGTTCCTGTACCCCTTTGAAGGAGCACCTGGCATGGGCTGGCTCCCTGAGGATGCCCTATAGGTCCTGCCCTAGTGGCAGAAGGCAGTTCCTCTAAATTCAAACTGCAGGGAGCTGGGAGCCTTACCTCTCGCTCCCGTCTGAATCAAGCCTTTATGCCCTGGCCAGCCAGCCAAGCTCCCCGCGTGCGCTTCAGCTGATGTCTCCTCAAGAGCTCATGCATGGGCTGGGGCCTTTCCCCCCATTCCTG